TCCAGTTTTGACTATCAAAATTGTGGAGTAAGGTGTTAGGTTCCAAACTTTTCTTTGCATTCCCTGTTACGACTGCCCCAGCGGCACTGTTACCTCTACTGAAATATTTCGATTTTGTGAAGCTCACTTCTTTGGCCAGCCAAGTGTCCTTCGCGTCCTGTTCGACTGCTCTAGTCATTGCTGAATATGTCACCTTTCCTCTTATAGGTGTACCTTACTAAACCTTTATTTTGCACTCTGTAGGACGATCTATGCCGTGCCGTTCCGATTTAATCAACTCTCTGATCAGTTTTTTAGTTTCTCCTCGAGGTCCACGGCTAAATCTGCTAGGAGTAGTACTTATTTGATCAGCTCATCCAAGGCTTTGATGAAAAGTTTCTTTTGAGCACATGGTCGACTTCTTCTTGTCTCCCTCCACCGCTGTAGGCTATCATTTTAGTCTCTCTTTCAGACAATTTGTTGTGTACTGCTGGTCAAGAGTCACAACCAGTACATAAAGTTTCTCCATCTCCTTTTCTTACGACCGATTCTCTGCCTCCGCGGATCCTTTCCATGCCTCTTCACTCACAGACGGCACGGCTCTACAGATCATCTGATATGATCAAGTAATCCTCCTCTGGTAGTGGCTGAAGACAGAATCTACTGCGCAGACTACTGACATGAGCCGATCCTATTGATAGGGGATCTGAGTATTCTAGGGGCCCCCTTCTGCTATGTCCTCCCAATTTCGCTTATCGTCTCCCCAACAGTAGTATACTTTACATCTCCAATTTCTCTGTCCACCGCCCCTGCGCATTCCTTCAAGTCGTATGAACTGGATATTCCAGTGTTCCAACAGATAAACAAATTCTAAGGGTTTACTCAGCTAGATATGCGACGCTGAGGCTCTCAATTCGAACCAGCTTCTTCGACTGAGGTCGATCACTCCATGATGAAGCACTCAAGCGAATGTTCTGCGCACTGATTTGAATTAATCATTTTAATAGTAAATGAGGTTCTTCAGCTGGCTTGTAAACCTGCAAATGACTCTGATACTGGCACCTTTTCTTCTTTTTCTTCGACCCCTACTTCTTCCACTTCATTCTACCTTCTTTTACCATCCATCTTCCACCTTCTTCCCTATCCTTTATTCCTTCTTCTCCCTAGCGTAGTGTTGATCCTGCGCCACCTGTACCTTCCACTTTAGCCCTGAGCTTGACTCCTGCGAGGACTTTCTTGACCGCGTTCCGCCACCTCTTCTTTTAGGCTCCTAATGGTAGCTTTTCGCTCTGAACTCCATCACGTTCCTTATCGAATGACCCGGTGACCTTTTCAGTTCACGCCCATGCCATCACAGGGGCTGCTCTCTTTTTTCGATTAGGCTTCTTTGAATGCCTATCCTGAAGTCTTCGCTTTTGATCCTTGTCATTTGTGTCTACCGTCCCTCTCAACTTCTACTTCTGCTGCGTTAAGTGGCCTTTCATGATTCTTGCCTTCATGCCAGCATTCGCTGCCGTAGATTGCTTGCCATTGCTCTATATAACTTTACTTTGAACCTCCTGTAGCACCGCTGGGCGCAGAAGACCCCGTTTGACTCTCCCTAAATCGTCCGTGTGCGTTTTTTAGTCTTCACAGCCTGGTCCACGCTACTTTCAACAACCATATCACTCATCAGATATCGGGAGTCTTGCATCCTTTTAATGGCTTCGACAAGACAATGTTTAATTGGCTCTGAAGATTTCTTTGAGCTCAAGAACTTTCCTCCACTGCGCTCAGGGAATCGGTTTCCACCACAAAATTCTGCGTAATCTGCAGGTTGTCCTGTGGATTTTTATTGCTTTCCGCTATCAGAGACATGACGTAGAACAGAGCCGCCATCAGACGTCCATTCACAAGTCCTTCTGTCATCACGTCCAAAGTTAGCAGGAACAGTAACGACTATTCCTTGAAGCATCCCAATTGTGATGTCTATTGCTTGTTAGGCTGTGAGTAGTGCGTATAGCTTTTTGGACCCATCGTAGCCTGTTCTCAACAACAGAAACGAGGTGTTGTTGAATTGACACGCTGTGACCGTACCAGCTTTTGCTTTTATATGGGAACAGATCTTGGTGGAATTCTTCGTTCAGGACCTTATCGAAGTGCTCTTCCCATTTGCCAATTACCTCAGCTGGCTTTCTCAGTATGGCATCAACGCTGTCCTTCAAAATGACTATTTGACGTCTTGGCTGGATGCCGAGCTTCCGCCAACCTAAAGACGAAATTTCCCTTTTCTCGACGGTCGAGTTCCTCCTACAAGTCGTCCAGTTTCATATTCTTTGCCTTTACTACGGCAGCCTTGACTAGCCTCTTACAGATTCTGTAGATAGCCAGACCTTTTGGAGTTCCCGTCTTTTGCCAGCACTTCTATGCTTCTATGTTTTACCACTCGCTTAACTTCGTAGTTCCGGGCCATGCTGCCTAGCCACCTCTGAGTGCACCTTGGGTTTCTTGCACATAGGCGCGATCTCAAAAGGCTACTGCTCCAAGTCTGCTAGATCGGTTTTTGAGTATTCGGGAGGCCAGCTTCCATGATTCTTTCTCACGGGGTGCAGTTTCCACCACCGTATTCTTTGCTCCGTTGTCACCCTGGTTTTCTTGGAGAGCTCGAAGGCTATCGCTACCAGTAAAGGCCGTGTTGTGAAGACTACTTTTTCAAACAATACCTTGATATCCTTCACGCTTTAAAAGGAGCGATCTTCTTACACCACATGTTCGATTTCCACTTGTCTTATCCCACTGCTGTAGATCAGCTTCTGGTGGTGAGTCTCCTTTTGTGCGAAGAACTTGCTACAGACTGCTGAGTCGTAAACCACGACCAGGCAGAGAACTCTCTCTTCCTCTTGATTTCTGACTTCTATTCCTCTAACCCTATGCACCCTGTTCTACTCTACCTTACCGATTGCTACCCCAGCCGGTCCAGTCGCCTTCCTAACCATCATCTTCCCTATTGCCTTGGCAATAATCTCACAACTTCTGCAGACGGTAAGACCTTTTTCTAGAATTTGCATCTTTCAATAGCGCTTGTAGGCGCTTTCTTCGAACTCACATCTTGTTGGACTTCATGGTTATGTACGTGAGGAGAGGCACGTTCTGCGGATCCAATTCTTTATCAGGCTGGAACTTGATACCCTCTACATCCTATCTCTTTCTCTACAAGCATATACATTCGATTTCCATTTGCGCCCCTCCTTTGCTGAAGGTTACATTCTGAGACTCCCTCTGAACCATACTTGTTCATAAAGAGATGTTGGAGACAGAGACAGCCAAAGGGAGAGGAGTGCTTTTCCCGAAGAATAACAGTGTTTGATCCCGACGAGGGAGGAATAGGGCAAAGCTAACTATAATATGACTTACACAAAAATTAGGCTAGACAACTAGCAAGAAACAACAACGCGCGGTGAGCAGGGTGGAACCGGTGCCAAACAAAGTACTTCGCCCATTAGAACCAATCCTGTTTTACAAAGTTTGCTCTGGATGAAGCTGTACTCTTCTACTTGAAGAGGTGTAAGACTTAGGAGATTCTACTGTGTGGAAAAAAATCAAAGAAGTTCTCGCTGATATTTCGCTCCTGCTTCTTCAGGTCAATTTTACCCTTGGTGCTCGTCACCCTCCCGCACCCTCAAAATTGATTAAGCTTTTCTTTTGAAAAAAAATTCTCTACACTTTTAAGATACTGGTGGTCATGGGGACTACAATAATTCGAGCTGACCTTACAGCATTGGGATTCTAGACGAACAACATGACTAAAGCTCCGTATTCGTTGAATGCCTTTTACGATGATGAGAATGCCTCTAATCAAATGCATATGTCATTACTATCGCTCTTTATGACGTAATAAGTGGATGATATTCAGAATAATCGGATGTTATTACTATCATTGTATCTAGTGGCGTTATTATAGGCTCATCATTGTTGGTGATTCCATCTCAAATGAACCAACTACAAGCCAACCTACACAAGTGGTACTGATCTACCACCATCCGTGATACTACAGGTAATAATCAATAAATCAATAATACTTGACTTCTTACAGCGGCAAATCAGTGCTATAGTAATACTTTTGCAACCACTCACCTACGGTCATTGCAATTTCAACTAACCTTTGCTCTTTTATGTATTTTATTTTATATTTTTAACTAAGTTAAGTTTTCATGAGGAACCAGTAGTTAATTAAAATTGCAAGAACTAGACTTATCGATCGCCGATGCTAAACACTTACTCCCTGTGTGACATGAGTGAATGAAAGCTAATTTTTCTTTTTTAAAGCTTTGGCAGTACTATAAATTACAATTACACTGTAACAGAAAGGTAAATCGCTAATAAAAAGTCGACCTTTCTAAGCAACCAAAGTAATTCGTTACAGAGATACCAACTCAGCTAAGAAGTACTTTATTCTAGAAAATATTTTGGCGTCTCTTGTCCCAATAAGGCAATAACTACCGTAGCCGGGATCAAAGGAAACTCGTAGGGAGAAATCAAAGTAAAGTAACCAGTAACATTAACCAGACAATAGGAAACATTACGAAAACTACCGTATGAGACAATTAGGGACTACATCGCTTCAGTACTGGAAAAAAGAAACTTCATTGAGCAGTTGAGTTAGTAGTTTCTTGTGAGTACTACCGAGACCACAGGTACGCGGCCCAGGAACTCTTGACGTGGTGCCAAGTTGTTTGGGCCAAACAATCGGGGTTCCGAAGAGCTCACTGGGCACTCTCTACGGCCAATGGTATCTACCAATACATGTAGGGTACACCTCATTGATTGAACGATCGATCGAATCTTACCTCGTTTACTCTCTCAATGACGCTCTACCATCTTCTACCTTATTTATAATTCTAACAAAGAATATATTTAAATGCTTTAATTTCAGAAATACTCATCATTTCTATGTTTTCTCCTCATTTTTGGACTCGTCGCCTTCTTTGATAATGATGGGTTATACCAACGATTTTCTCTTTATACCTCCCCCTATGTCACCAATGGCATTTCCACGATCGCCGGATTTACCGTTTACCGGTGAGTTTTCATTTCTCTTCGTTTAGTCTACTTTTTGAGTTAGCCTATACTTATCCATACGTTCTCCCGTATTTTTTTGTTTTGCCCCATAAGAACCCTTTTTCACTCATACTGCACTGCACTGGATTAACTTTGAGACTATGCTCTGTGAGAAAAAGTAGGCCCTACAACTCATAGGAATGGCTAACATGAGGAAAAAACGCCGCATCGCCATTATTTGCCAAAACATCGCAGTAGAGATCCAAGCACGACCTCAGCGGGACGGTCACGATACCATTCTATGGTTCTCTTCTGGGATTACTCCCGCTTCACCGAGCCATGATTGAATGTTGTTCTGGATTACCTATATTTCACCTGAATTCAGTGAAATGCACAATATTTAGGAGCCGCCGCGCGACCGCGCGCTTAGTCCTCAGGTATTGCGAGCAGGGCGAAATGACGAATATCCTAATTCCCTCAGGACTTCTCACACATTTATGTATGAATGAACGTATGTAGTACAAATAGTTGGTAGGCATGATCGAAATCATTTACAGGTCCAGCAAATCGCCTAAGCCAGTCACTACTTCATTTGCACATTGTCGGCTCAACTCCTCAATTCACTCCAATAAGTGTCAGTGGTAGCCCAATCATATCGGATTGGATGTGTCGCTTCCAGCAACAAAAAATTCCACCAAATGATCTCGACACGAAATCTCTGACTACGATACTGAGAGGCATGCGTCTTACAGAAGATCAATTAAAAGCAAATAGGTACTGTCTATTTGTGGTAATTGAAAACAAACTCAGTCATTCACTGAAATTTCTCACATGCAGTTTCCCACGATGGAAAGATGGAGATAGGACGAAGGTTGTTGTTGAGCCCAGTTTCTATGACTTTATGAGTGGACGAAGGGAATTCATTCCAGACGATGGTATTACTATTAGTCTTATTAGTGATTCGTTGCTTAATCATTCATGATTTACAACCTTTTGACCACATTACGAGTCATCTTTTTTTTTATTTTTTTATCTCTACTATTATTTCTACTACACCCACATTTTGGCTCCTATTTTTGAGGTTATTTTCTTTTGAAGGCAATTTCTTTCGCTATCACATATTTCTCCCACCATGCTGGATCTGAGCTGGCCGGCTTCCCAAAAATAGCACCATCGTCGCTGTCTACGGCCTTCACTACGCAGTGTTTGGGCTACCCATCCTCAGAATTCTTTATTCTTGATTATCAAGCCTCCTCGAGATCCCACTTTCCAGTTATCGTTGCTTGTTACGATTGTCCTCTTGACGCTTCTGTAGCCGCCTACATCCATTCGTTTGAGAACGTATCTCATCCCTCAGTTTCAAGCTACAGCCTAGCCTTGCTTTCTTGGAGGCACTTCCAAACTCGCGCTCTTAAGGACATACATGTGTTTCACCACTTCATGATACCACTGCTGGGCAAGGTTACTATGAAAGGAGTGTCTGCAGTTCTCTCGTTTGTTCTAGGCACCTTTTCCATAGTTTGTTAACCAATATTGTGCCAAGGTCACTTCGAATAGCAGAAGGAACCGCTCCTCTAGAAATTATTCTTATGAAGAAGCCGGAGCTATTGTGGAATATCTTTCACCACTTCATGATGAAGCGCTTGAGCAACGATTACTGTCAAAGGAGGATCTTCAGTCCTTTCGTTTGTTGCAGACATCTTTTCGATAGTTAGTCGGCCGAGATTGTGCCGATGTCAGTTTCAATTACAGTTGGAACTGCTCTTCTAGAAAGTTTCCTCATGGTGAGCTCGAACAACTCTAGTAAGCCCGTCCTTCACCACTTCATGATGCACCGCTAGGATAACGATTACTGTAAAGCAGGATCTTCAGTTATCTTGTTTATTGTAGACTTTTCCATACTTCATTAGCCAAATTTGTGCCAAAGTCACTTTGAATGACAGTTGGAACAGCTATTTAAGAAATTATCCCTATAAAAAAGCTCGAGCTTTTGTGTAATATCTTCACCACCTCATGATGAGCTGCTCGGGTAACGGTTACCGTCAAAGGAGGACTTCCGTTCCTTTCTTTCGTTGTAGCCCTCTCTTCCATAGTTTTCTGGCCCTGTATGGGAGACTAACTTCCATGGCAATTCGTTTGAGGTCGTTTTCATCCTTCGACACAGCTCTCACCTTCGAAATTTCTGCTCCATTTCATCCTTACCTCCTTGAAGAAACTACGGCGATGTCTGCTAGGAGCTGTGCTGCAAAACCCGTATCCGATGACCTCTACATATGTGAAGGAAAATCTTTTCTCGAGCGTACATATAGCCCATTTTCGTTCTTGTCTCCCCAGATGTATGCTATCTTCTGAGTCTCGCTTTTTGCGGAGAATATATTTACGTGCTACGTTTCCTTCCCCAAAATCCGGTTGATTAGCCGATAGCGAATGAGGAATCTTCCACGTGATCTGGCTTCTCCACTTAACATTGTTTCTTTCCCGTTGTACATTATGGCCCGTATGCACAACTCCCGGGGTAGGGGAGGGGGAGGAAGT